GCTCTGCACCTGCGGCTCGTCATCTCCCGGTCGGCCTTCCCGTCCGCGGAGATGGTACGTCCGAGGTACACAAACCGATCTGTCTGCTTGTACGTCTGGCCGGCGGCGCTGACCGTGAACGGGCGTTCCTCGATCCCTTTCGGCAGCATGCACGTGATCTCCATCTTTGGCTCCGATACCATCAGTGCGAACAGGCCGGCCACGCGCACGATGACCGACATCATCTTCTCGAGACTCNTTGTGTACTCCATTTTTGCCCCAATCTTGACCATGTCCGCCGTCACCTTGGGGTCCTTGTCGAACTCGGCCACGGCGACCATGAGCATCGCGGCAAAGAACAAGTTGAACAGCAGCGGGGCCAGGTTGCATCCCTGTCGGAGGCCTTGGCCCACGTCGAACCATTCCGAGTACTGCCCGTCGTCCGTTCGGACGCGCGCCCTCATGCCCTCGTGGAAGTGGCGAATGACCGCCAGCATCTTCGGGGGCACGCCGAAGCGTCGGAGCACGTCCCACAATAGGTCTCGGTCTACCGAATCGTGTGCCTTGGTGAGGTCGACGAAGGACGCAAACACCGCAGTACTCTTCTTCCTCGCGAGCTCATGGAGCCGCTAGATGGNACGTTGAACAGCAGCGGGGCCAGGTTGCATCCCTGGCGGAGCCCTTGGCCCACGTCGAGCCATTCCGAGTACTGCCCGTCGTCCGTTCGGACGCGCGCCCTCATGCCCTCGTGGAAGTGGCGAATGACCGCCAGCATCTTCGGGGGCACGCCGAAGCGTCGGAGCACGTCCCACAATAGGTCTCGGTCCACCGAATCGTATGCCTTGGTGAGGTCGACGAAGGACGCAAACACCGCAGTACTCTTCTTCCTCGCGAGCTCATGGAGCCGCTAGATGGCGAACAGCATGTCGAGCGTCGACCGGTGTCGGCGGAAACCGCTCTGCTCCTCCGAGAGGATGCCTTCTCGCTCGCAGTAGTGACTCAGTCGTGTAGCGACAACTTCAAGCAGCACCTTGCCGGCGTGTGCGACGACAGAGATGCCCCGGTAGTTGCCGCACTCCATTGTGTCCCCCTTCTTGAACAGCACTTTGATGGTGGCATCCTTCTACTGCCGTGGTACGTCTCCCGTCTGCCACACGTCCACGATAGTGGCGTGGAATTTGCGGAGGAGACCTTGATCTCCGTCCAGGAAAAGCTTGATCAGCTCAGCCGGTAGGTCGTCCGGCCCGACGGCCTTTCTGTTGGCCATTTCCCGTACCGCTTCCTCAACCTCAAGTAGAGATGGGATGTCGTCGAGTGGCACGCACGTGGGCCACCGCTTGACCTTGTCAGCCGCATGCAGGTCGATGGTCGGCGACTTGGTGTTGAGAAGCTTGTGGAACCACCGTGCCCACCGTTGGCGAATAAACGTGGGGTCCCGAAGGACCTTGCCGTCCTCGTCCTTGATGTTCTGAGAGGTGAACGACCTCTTACCTTCGACGTCGATCATCTTCAGGTGCCTGTAGAAACCCGCCTGATCCCCCTTGCGGCTCTTCTTCTCGAGCCGCTGTACACAGCCCTCGGGGAACGTTTCCAGTGCTCTCCACCTCGCGATGCTGCGCTTCTTCCGCGCCGCCTTGAGCATCGCCTTCAGGGTCGCCTCGAAGGCGCTGTTCTTTGAGGCCCCACGCAGTTGCTGCTGGGCCGCCCAAATCTCTTTAAACGCTTCGGAGGTCTCGTGCTGCGCTTCGCTCCTGTACCAGCCTCTCTGCCCTCGTGCGCACCTCACCAGCGGCGTGGTCTCAGCAGCGACCGACATCACCGTAGCCGTCAGCTCGGCGGCGGTCTCTCCCGTCGGCCGCCTGAGCGCCGTGGGCGGAGGGCGGCTAGAGGCCCTGTTTTGGAAGGCCACCCGTCGGTGTTTGTCCTACCTTAACCGCTCGAGGTCGATGCGGATCCGGCTTCTTCCGCTGTTCCCCCGCACTCGTCGGTTGGGTGCGACACGGGGGGGGAGGCGGACAGTCGTAAGCACGAGGTTGTGTTCACAGTCTTTGTAGTCGACACGTTTGACGGAGACATTACGCACGAAACGCCGGTCCGCCAGACGCATGAGGATGAAGTCGAGGCGGTACTTCTCCTTCCCCTTGTTGGAGCTCTGGAATGTGTGCTGCACTCCACCTTTCGGTGTCCGGAAGTAGGTGTTGGTCAGGGAGAGTTGGTTGTTTGATGCCAATCCAAGGAGTCGTTCCCCATTGTTGTTCATTATGTCGCGTCCGGACGCGCCCATAATCTTGACATCGCAGCACCCGTCTCGCCTCCTACCAGTACGTGCGTTGGCGTCCATTAGCACCACGACATGGTCACGGCTGTGAACCTCCCGGATCGCTGCGTCGAGAGCAGTCCAGAAGGAGTCCTTGGCGTCAATATCACCCCCCGCGGTAGTGCGAACGGTTGCCGTGGGGACGTACCCCACCACGAAAGTTACTCCGCAGGTGCGGCCAACTTGTAGACGCACCTTCATCAGCGTCGGACTAATGCACTCCACCGTTCTACCTTCCTCGCCCACACTCTCCTACATGGCCTCCTTGATCGCTATGCCCACACCGTGCACGCCCCTCTTGTCCTTGGTGCCGGCACGGGCACCACTCCAGATGATCACGTACCCGTCGTGTGCAATTGAACCTTGCCCGTCTCGCCGGGTCTCCTGAAGTTCTATCACATCACAGCCGGTCGCGGAACAATTCTGCATGACCGTCATCACGTTGTGACCGATGGGGTTCCTACCGCTGTAGGCGAGCGTACGTACGTTGAACGTGCCGAACGATAGGTCGCCCTCTCGTGCCTTCTTTTTCGTAGCCGCTTTGACGGCCGCTGCGGTCGCGTGTCTCGCTTGGTCGGCCTCGCGTTGCGGGTGTGCTTTCTTCCGTATTTTCCGAGCGGCGGGTTTCCTCGCATCAATCCATCTCTGCAGAGCTCGGTTCTTGCCTGTGGTGTTTTGACGAGGAGGGTGCAGCCCTCCCTCCTCTTGGTGCCCGCGGTTGTCTCCCTTCTCCCGCGAGCGGTGCTTACTGAAGTGGTGTTTACAAATCTCTCTACTCCTCCAGCTTCGTGGGCCTCGCTTTCCGCGACGGTGGTTGCCAGGTGCAGTTTGCCGCTTTGCATTACTGCCGCGGGAAAAGTGTCCATACACACCTCTCGCCACTACCACCGTCTGTGCATCCTCACCGCCACGCTGAGCCAGCGCGGCAGTGAGTTGCACCTTGGGACACCACCCGCCTACATCTGTTGTGGCCTCGTTCGCCCACGAGGGATTCACTAGGTCGATTTCGGCCCCGGCCGGGGAGCAGGCCGAGGGGGAAGGAGTGTGGTGTGACCACGGGTTGGGGTAAACGGCACCATTGCTGTGAGCGCTGATTTGAAGCGAAGACAAACAAAATAGAAAAAGTCTACAAGTTCTCGTCGCGATAGGTAATGCATTGAGTAAACCCGGGTATTAAGGAACACCCAACCATGATGGCTGACTCATAAGGCAACCGAAAGTTGGCCCGAAGTTTTTTTTTGGACTGGCATACCCCCACCCCCCGGATTTGCACGGATTCGACCACGAGACAGACCTCTCACCACATCACCACAGAGGTCTTCCTCCATGATGGTCGGATCGTCACCAAACCTTGAAGGCTGTACGCACCACACCTGTGGACGTCTTTGAAGCTAGTGGTGACTGCGCCGGGAAGCGGCGGAACAGAGTATGGGGCTGGTGAGCATCAATCGGATGCAACCAATGGGACCGCGGGAGGTACCGGCGGCGATGCCCCAGTCCTTGGCATGTCCAGCGTTGGGGTTGGGAGTGGTAGTCACATGGTTGATGCTACGGTGCTGCGGTGCTGCGGTGTTAGCCCCAACCTTGCTCATTCCACCTTTTGACCTGTTCTCCTAGTCCAAGGTCTCATCAAAACAACAACTTTCCCCAGAAGCCACGAGTTTACCAGCAACCTCTTCCAGCTCCCGTCCCACACATCGCACATCACCCAGCCCTTGGACGTTGGTACGTTCGGAACCTTCGAGAAGGAGCTCACCAGGGTGCTCACGGCCTACTCACTGAAAATCGGGGGGAGGAATCCGGTGAAGCGCGACATGGCTGCGTGATTGCGGAGCTATGGAGAGGGAGCTTCACGCCTGCGAATAGCATGGCGGCGTTCAAAGGGGCGGGCTCGTGGCCGGTGAACATGGAGAAGGCCATCAACCGACTACACAGCAAGAGGAAGCAACGGGAGAATGACCGCCCTTTCCCTGAAGACCTCGCCGTCGTTGCCTCCAAGAAGCATCTCGAAGAAGATCTCGGCCACGCGGCCCTCCTGGAGTTGACATGACAGGGAGTGATGATCGAGGGGCTCCGCGTGAGCACCATGCTCCTCGGCGGGCTCACCCGCCTCACCAAGCGCTCCAAGTCTTTCGCGACCGTTCGGGCGGGCAGGGGGAAGCCCGAGGGCCGTCTCCTGTCCGCCCGAAGACCAACTTGCTAAGGCAGGAAGGACAAAGAAGACAAGGAGGCCGCTGAGAAAGTAAAGGCGGACGACGTGAAGGCCCGTACAGAGGCAAGGGCAGCGAGGGAGGCCAATCTTGGGCAGGGTAACACAACGTGGTGCGATCATCCCCCTTGCGCCGAGTGAGGGTTCTCCAACCCGCACAACACGATCTACTCAACCACCATCATGGTTACCGCCAAAAAAAATAACGGAGGAAAAAAAAAAAAACTGTAACCTGTGGTGACGGTCAGGAAGGGCGAGACGGGCGCGGCCAGGGACAGGGTGTCCGGGGCCGCCCCGCTGGTGCTCGCGGAGAGGAAGGGGGGCTGGTGGGCGGGTGGGGGCCGATGCTCGCGTCCAAGCAAGAGCGGGACGGCCGAGAGGGGTGGTGGTTTCCTTGGTTCAGCCGCAGCCGGCGGCGGCCCCTTTTTCTTCTCGAGGACGGCAACGAACCCCGACACCAACCGTTGATGTGTGGACTAGATGCTGTACGGATATCGTTTTTTTATTCGCGAGAAGGATAAATTATTCGAGTGAGACAGAAAACGTCAGTGGGGTGTCGAGGTGCCGATATGCATTCCAGGGTTGTGCTTCAACAGCTTTTGGGGGTAGTTTTCGAGCGTCCCACGGGGGGGAGGGGGGATGGGGGGTGTAGAGGTATTTTCCGGAACCCCGGGGACGTTGAAATGCTGTCCCCGGGCCTGAAGGGTTATTGATTTTTTTTGCTGCTTCGCGACTTGAGCTGATCGTCTTGAAAGGACCTTTCGATGGGTCGTTCGAGTGGTGGGAAACAGGTGCGATTTTCTGCGAGAAGTCTCACCGCAGTGCCAAGCTGCTTTTTGCCTGGCCCACTACGTGCTTGAATGCATGTAGTCTATGTAACGAGGTCAAATGAGCTCCAGACGACATGGTTTTTCTTAAAGTCAAATTGATGTGCCCAGTAGAAGCTTGGGGTGGTTTCTAGGGCTATGCAGAGATGCTTGGGGTGCATTCCAGCACCGGGGTCGGGCCGGGGGGGGGGCGGGGGGCCTTGATATTGCCGCGAAACCGGGGATACGGCAATTTTGTCCCCGGGTATGCATGTTTTTTTTTCCTTTGCAACAACGTTCCTTGTCATAGAAAACACCTACCCACAAAAGGGCACGTTGTGGGAGTGTAAGGTGAATGTGAAACAAGGGAAATGGCCTTGGGGTCCCCGCGGAGAATTCGTACCGTAGCGGCCAGGTCCAAGGTATGCCTGTTTGAACGGGCATTACATCACCTATGCACCGTTTTTCGTTCTTATTTCTTTTCAGGGAGTCAATATATGACGAGAATGGACCAACTTTACATTAATCTCTCAGGTCTGGCTCTTTTCATGTGCGCAGCACCGCCGTACGGTCAAAAACGATTAAAATCCGTCTCCGATTTCAGCCGGGAAACCCGGGGATGTGAGTATTTGTCCCCGGGCGTGCATCAAATCCAATTTTTCCCCTCAAATGGATACATGTTGCAACAGACGCATGTACACAAAAAATCAGATCATATAACGTTTCAGAACGTACGAAATCAGCCAAAAAGCTAAGTGTTCCTGAATTTGGAGGGGGGGGGGTGTTTTCCACCATGTTTCGTTTAACACTGAGGTGCACTGCATCAGCTCTATCTCAACTGCCCTTATGAGTTTGTTTTTGTAAGAGAGGTAGCAAACAAAGCATCCTATCGTCCGATACTTAGGAACACTTGAAATGTCGTTCTCACGCCCGAGAACGAGCTGTTGGCGCGAGAGGTGGCTTAAGCGTTCCTTGATTGGCCGGTTTACTCTTCTGTAGAGGCGCTCTTGTTGTTATTGTTCTGTCGTACCTGCATACATACGAGTATACAAGCGCCCGAATAGAGAGGTATAGACTAGGTATCGTAGGTCTTTCACCTGCCATGATCATCATGGTCGTGAATGCTTGAGTGACGGTTAGCCGCTGCCTGCAACAACGCCGGCATGCCACACCTCAGGGGATCCCGCACGACTACGACGGGATAACAGCCGAACAAAACCAGTAGCCTACGACAACAACGACAATAAGTAACACGCAAAGAAAGCATCACTGCGAACGACTGACGACTGAACTGCCATTTTTTCGTCCTACTTCTCTAGGAAGTTGCCATTTAGGTCATTCCGACTGACCTGACTTGGCTGTTTCTTTTATTTTCGTCCTACATTACTGTATCATGGCGTCGGTCCCCCCTTTGTTCGGGAGACCTGCACTTCACGTGTTGCAGTGTGTGGTTTGCAGTGTACTGCTACTGAAGACAGCACTTTTCAACGTGTATTTCTTCGTTAAACTGAATGTGACCACAACAACAACAACAACCACAACCATCCAGGGTCATTCACACTTACAACCTCCTCCCCTCCCCGGCCTGCTCCCCGGCCGGGGCCGAAATCGACCTTGTGAGTCCCTCGCGGGCGAACCAGGCCACAACAGATAGTAGGTGGGTGGTGTCCCAAGGTGCAACTCACCGCCGCGCTGGCTCAGCGTGGCGGTGAGGATGCACAGACGGTGGTAGTGGCGAGAGGTGTATGTGGACCTTGTCCCCACGGCAGCAATGCAAAGCGGCAAACTGCACCTGGTAACCACCGTCGCGGAAAACATGGCCCACGAAGCTGGAGGAGCAGAGAGATTCGTAAAAACCACGCGAGTAAGCACCGTTCGCGGGAGAAGGGAGATAACCGCGGGCGACGCGGGGGGGGAGTGCTGCACCCTCCTCGTCCAAACACCACAGGCAAGCACCGAGCCCTGCAAAGATGGATCGATGCGAAGAAACTCGCCGCTCGGATTAAACGGAAGAAAACACCCCCCCAGCGCGAGGCGGACCGAGAGCGACAGGAGATCGCAGCGGGCGTGAAGGCGACCGCGAAGAAGAAGGCACGGGAGGGCGATTTATCGTTCGGCACGTTCAACGTACGCACGCTCGCCTACAGCGGCAGGAACCCCATCGGCCACAACGTGATGACGGTCAT